ACTGTATATATATTGTTTGATAGCATGTAATATCAAATCTTTGCTCAATGTCCCGAAAATATCTCATATTTCCCGAAAAATTTCCCAGGTTTCCCGATTCCCGGCAAAATCTCCAGGTTCCCGGATTAAATTTGTTTTTCTCCCGAAACAGCGCTTGTTAGAGCTGTCACCCCCCGTGGTGGTAAGTTCATGTTCTTGCACGTTGGTTGGTAAAGACAAGCCAGGAGGCCACCTATTAAATCGAGTTGATTGGGATAACTGCCGCATCTTGCTCGGTATAAATACGGCAGTCATTATTTGACATAGTTTGTTGAGATATTCCACAGAGTGCTTTGAATAAATTAGCTCATTCGAGATAATAGTATCACGAGACAAATGAAATGTAAACCCTGAAAATAATCGCGGAAATAAAACCTACTACCACCTATGAGGAAAGATACATGAATATTGAGCTATAACCCCCGCATTACTTGCTTTGTGCCAATATCTGCACCAAAATTTCTCTTAATTCCTGAAAGTATCAGATCGTATGGGAAGATCTAACACGTACTTTTCGGTTGAGAATGGATGACTAAAGTTAAAATTGCTTTCGCAAGCATTAGTTCCAACTTTCACGAAACCTTTAAAGTTTCAAACAGCTCTATTAAATCAATTGCGTTCAATAATTATAATATTCAAAACAATACCTGTGAATTAAGTAGAAGAATATCTGTGGACGAACAAAATACAGAACCATGCAAACTGCCCACAGGAAAAACACTGCAAAAGCGACAAGCCCAACAATCGGAAGAAACAGTCCCAACCAGAGAACCATTGTACAGCTATTGTCACTTGAATATCGGATTGCTCCTGTCTTCTACAAGTTCTAACTTTGCTTATCTGTGCAACCGGTGTGCCCTCCAGACTTCCCGATCGACGCAAATGTCAGTATTCTGTCGGTCGATGACAAGGATGTGAAATTATCATTACCACGCCACCAGTGGAAGCCCTGTGTATCGCGTTAATAATATAAAAAACAAATAATTACAATTCAACTACAACAGTCTCGTCTCGAAGTTTTGCTTTCCCTTGATATTTCATCAAAAGTTTGCTAAGTTTGAATAAAATGCCACTAGCCACGCAGGTGTTTCTATTGTTTTTAGAAACTTTGGGGAGCGTCTCGGAATAGTGACTTTCCATACCCTGGTTAGTCAGCTTTTTGTCCTCTTACATGGCTCTGTTTTCATCAAAATACTTTCTGTTTGTTTTAAAAGAGACATGCAATGCAAACTTTGCTTTCACCTCCGAGCCCGACAGAAGTACTGAAGTAAACTAAGTTTCATGCACGTTGTAAGAGACCTCTTTCCTGAGTTACCCATACGGGGGGTACTCTGGATTTCAAGTGACACTGATGTTCGAAGGATTGTTTTGCGTTTGAAATTTTCGATTTCGGAATTTTTGTTGGGTAGGAAAATTTTGGCAAGTATATTTTTGGGTAGATTGATTTAAGCAGGGATTTTCTTGGATATTCAATATGCTTTCTGCAAATTTTTATGGCTCCGAAATTTAATTCGGCATGGGATTTTTTGGGGTGTTGATTTTTGCCCCCCCCGTCACTTGAAATTCGGGGGGTCACCAGAAATTTGTCCTCTATGCACTCAATTTGCACATCTACCATATTAATGCACCCCCCCCCCACTCCCCACAAAATTTTGCATAAACGAATGAAAAGCAAAGGCTATGTAACTTTTACTTTTTGGGGGGTGGGGGGCTGGGGGGGGTTTGGGGGGCAAACGAGGTGTATTATGGGAGATGTGCATATGGCGATATATAGCGAGTTCTTCTGCTAAAAATGAACTTAGGTCCCATAACCAAACTTAAAACTCCGGCCGCGGTAACAAAATGCAAGGTCGACAAGGGTTTCTCGCTTTACCCGCGGGCAGGGATTTTTCCGGGAAGGTGTCTGCCCAGGCTCAGTTCATCCCTTTGAATCTAATAGCCCAGAAAAAAAAAGGGCGCGACTTGGCCAAAAAGTTTCACATTTTCATCCTTAGCAGGACCCAGTGATCCACCCCCTCTTCAAGTGCCGAAAACGTTCACCTTTCGCAGGACCGACTGTGCAGCGTTACTGAACACGCCATGCTTTTGCGGTGTTTCCTTGAACTGATACTCAGTGCTAAAAAAGGTTAGTTCAAATGAAAAACAAATAAAGAAATATAGAAGCAAGCCTGATCTTTACAGTGAAGAAAAAATAAGAACGCCTTACATTTACCCTTCAAAAATAAAGACAACCGGCATCTTTGTAGAATTTGATGGACAAAAAGGAATAATCCAGACTAATAACATTGCTTACTTGGAGTGAGTTGCTACTAACGAATGTCATTTTTGTAACCTGGCTAAGCTCAGGGATAAAAGAAGTGGCCAGGTGAACCATTTCAGACAATACTCTCCACTTCAACTCACAAATGCGACAATGTTTCAAAAAACAACAAACGCTGTCACTCTTCTTTTTTTTATTTTTTCACTTACTTAGGAAATTTATTACAAATTCTAATCTGAGCGCCTCTAGCATCAGGTTTGTAAGTACTACATTAAAGAATTAGAGTGCTATGCAATAGAGCTAAGATCGTATCTATAAGTGCGGGGCAGTGTGGCTTATTGACTGATGGTTTCTATTATGGCAGCTTGATTTCCAGTCAGGACTTGTGTCTTTACTTGATTTCTAGAATCTCTATTTCAAACAACAAATCAGCATTTGGAGGAATTGTAAGAAAAGTTAAGGGTTATACAAGAACATCAACAAAAGCATTAAATAAACAACAAAAAGTAACAAAACAGGAAAACATTATAGAAGGATGAAAAATAATGGAACCGGCACCAGATTTAAGAAGCTAAGAAGGATCTCCAGTGATACCGCATGACAACAGGCTACGTGGGATATCTTAACATAGGGCGGGGTTTAAATTTGTTCTCGAGTGTCCGCACAAAATAAGACAGAAGCAAAAGATATCACAAGGCAAGAAAATGTCGTTATTTCTTCATCCTAGTTTTTTCACTAGACGTTATTCCGGTGGGAAATGTTTCGATCCGCACCAATAAACGTAAAATCCGACCAGAGGTATGGTAGGCTAAAAACGCCTGCGTGGGAGGCTAATGGACAGCTGAATGGAGACGAGACTTTCCCTTGAATTTGCCGCTCAAATTTCCACATTTTTGTTGGTATATATCTACTACCTGCTTCAAAAGATTTCACCGAGCCTAAAAGAAAGGTCTCTTCCCATCATTTTTTATGTAGACCCACACCCTACGGAACCCAGTCACTCCAACGCTTCTTCCTTACACATAAGTTGTGCACCAAATTATCTTAAAGACTTTTCAAGAGTTCAGATGGCAAGGAGCAGTGTGAAGGAGGTGTGGAGAAAGAAAGGAGACGAGAAAGGGAGACCTCCTCTATATATCTACATACCGGGGTATTGCCCTCTCTCTCTTCCTCCTCTCTTTNGCTTCTTCCTTACACATAAGTTGTGCACCAAATTATCTTAAAGACTTTTCAAGAGTTCAGATGGCAAGGAGCAGTGTGAAGGAGGTGTGGAGAAAGAAAGGAGACGAGAAAGGGAGACCTCCTCTATATATCTACATACCGGGGTATTGCCCTCTCTCTCTTCCTCCTCTCTTTCAGTTTTTTTCCCGTTTCTTTTTTTTCTCTCTTCGTGCCATCTTTGCTACCTGTACACCTGGAAAAAGCTAGTCCTCTATCTACCCTTTACAGTGCTGCAGCACCTGCCAGAGCTCTGGCAGGTATTCTGTTATGAATAGTTGTGATCTATTAAATATTGTGTGTTGATTAGTAGAATGGCTTTGAACCGCCACCTACTTTATTTCACTAACAAGACTACTTCAAAAGTTATTGTCAGAAAGCCTGTTCCAAGTGTAAACATGATCACACCTCATATGCTACACTGCAGATTCAAGCTAAAATTTGTGACAAAAGGCCATTAGATATCAGAGTTTAGTAAAATCCATTTAGTGGTCTATTATCAATGCTGTGTTCTGATTGGTTGAGCTACTACTAGGCTATATGTTATAGCCCAGTAGTAGCGAAAAGCGTGGGCTTTTTGATGGCAAAAAGGATTAAAGTCTAGCTTTAACTAGATAAAATTTTTTTATTCTCGATATTTTTGACCAACTAGTTGGATTTTACTAAAACAACTATTTCTCTCGCCCTCATGGCCTCTGAGTCAACAGCCCATGAGGCTGAAGGCTGAATGGGCTATTGACTCAGAGCCCATTCGGGCTTGAGGAATAATTTTTAAGTATACTAAACAAACTGTGATATGAAAGGATATCTCCATGCTGGGAAGCCACTAGATCCATAACCCTTTTCAGATGGAATGGTCAGTTTAGCTACTTCTCCTTGTTGCATTTTCAAGCAGCCCTCATCCCAACCTAATCACAAAAAAAATATACACAAAAATAAAGCACTGAACAAAAAAAATAATTTTATAATTTAATTCAATTTGATAAACTGATACCCATAGTTCAAACAGAGCCCTCAGTGGGGAGACCAGTTTTCAATCCTGTCATCCTGACCAAAATTGTTTTTGGTCAATGCTATAATTCCAACAGAGGGCTCACATTTCCACAATTTCAAAGAACCAGAGGCAGTCCTGCCAGCTTGTGTTTGATTGTCCTCAGGATAACGTCTGTACCCCTTTTAAAGGATATTTTACAAAAATTGAACACAACATTAACACTAGAAACAATGTGTGTTCACTAAAACTTCCCAAAGCCAAATTAGAATTTGGACGGAGAAGTTTCGCCTTTCAAGGGGCTCTAGTTTATAATACTTTACCTCAGCATTTAAGAACTTTAAAATCTAGGTTTCTTTTTAAGAGTAATTTAAAACAATTTTTTTTCAATAGTATTCCATAATTCATAACTCTTTTCAGTCTTGTAAGTCGATGATTTTTACAGATTTTGATTTTTAAATCTTAGATTTCTTAGTGTTATTTTATTTTATTTTCCCTTTTCGATTTTTTTTTAGCTATTTATGAGATAATTACAGGACTCTTTTGATAACAGTTCTTTTTATTAGAACTGATAGGTTATCCTGTACAAATATTCGCGTTATTATTAACAAGTTAGTGGAAAAGTGGCACGTTTTAGGTTTAAAGGAAAATTTCCTGAATTGTTTAGCGGATACCCAATCTTATTTCCCATCCACATTCCCACGTCTTGGATGCTGAAAAACCTATCAGGGACCTTATCTAGTCACTGCAATTCAAAATCAGGTGAAAGAATTATATCATCTTTCTTATAAGTCAACTGCTTTAATCGCCTTTAAAAACTGAACTTTTGTGACTTTCAAGCAACGGTTTTCTTACAATCATACATGACCATGCCAGGTGGTTGCTTATGCAAAACAGAAAACAACAGAATATGTCAAATTTCTGGTTTAAGAAGTGGCCGTGATCTTATAAGAAATTTTAAGTAGTGGTCACTTACAAGAGAGTCTTTAAAACAGTATTTGACTGAGAAACAAAATGGTTATTTTCAAAGTGGTCGCTTACTATCAGAGAGTTGACTGTATCTAATTTCTCCTGATCGTATGCAAAACTAACCTTTAATCACTTTTCCTAAACCAACTTGGAAGGAAAACGGCCCTTGGCCTGGATCTTTTGTGCTTAAAATAGATTAGAACAAAAACACATCAGTAAAGAAAAGAAAGAAATAGTCTAGAAATAGTAATGGATGAAAAACACGTAATTAGAGATAACTACATTATTGACATGAAATGAACTGGGTTTGACTGTTACGCATGAGAAGTTGCAGTTTTCAGGTTTGAACTACCTTTTTGGTATTTGATTTCATGGGTCTAGAATTTTACCTTTTTCATGACAGTAAAAAATCATGTAATTTTAGATCTGCGAATATAAATCCACACAAAATTTGAACTCAAAAAATTTAATAACAATTTAACATCAACATATCTAGTAAAGGGTATGTTTTGACAACTACACCAATAATTTTTTTATTAACTGGTTTTACTGGTAAGTTCCATTTATCATCTTTTGTATAGCATACGATAATTTGCAAACATTTTCAGTTTACCTTAAAACTATAAAAACTGAAAAGTTCACACTTTTTGGAAAAATAAAACGAAGTTGGGAATGTAATCATGAAATTTAATGTCCTCTTCTATTTGCATATCGAAATTGCAAAAATAGAACTCCCTTGCTGAAATCGCGAATTAAGTTCCAATAAGGTAGTTACTACTGAGTTATGTGTCATTCTATGGTTAGAATTCCCATGTTAACAGAGTATTGGGAAATATTGGATTTTTCTAATACTGCAAAGTCATGAATGAGTGTAAAAAACAAACAAACAAACAAACAAACAAAGATCAGACCATATCGGATAGCAACAAGATACTACAAGTCAGCTTAAGACATTCCTCTCAGAATTAATTTCTGATTTCAATCGTCCCAACAAAGATTCAGCTTCACAACAGATGGCAGAAATCAAAAGGATCAAGTGTGAAACCATTGCTCAGTCAAACAAAAAGAGTGATGAAGATCAGTATAAAGTGGAATAATACAGTTACTGAGGGGGCCAAGAGACTAGCCAGCTTTGAAAAGGCAGCTAAAGGCTCTAGAACACCGGTTTTCAGGAGAATTCATATGAGAGATCTATATAGAAATTTAAAGGCTTATAGCCTACATGTAGCCACAATCCTCTCCATTTTTCCTTTATCAGGGGGAGGGAGCGGCTACAGATAGGCTAAAAGGCTTACTGTAATTTGCAAAAGGAAACAAAACCAAATGAAATGAAAAATATCTGTACTATGTGAAATCTCTAATTTGTGAAATAAAAAACTGTAATTTGTGAAATGAAAATCTGTACTTCCCCAAATAAGCCATTTTAAACACAGTTTTAAACAGAATGGGGGGCTGCCGCTCCTTGGTCCCAGCTCTATCAAAGTCAGCCCATGTGACGGTGGTAAAGTACCCTGCGACAGCTACCAGCCCTTAGTAGGACAGAGCTGTCAACTCTCCCAGATAATTCGGGAAACTGCAGATTTTGGACTGTATCTCCCGATCTCCAGATTAGAGCCTGATATCTCCTGGATAATGGCCATAGTTGTTACTTTTTGTAGATTGGACTTTCAGACCATAAAATTTCAAATATTTTGTGTTGTTTGAGCTACCGTTAACATGGAACGTTTTCTCACAAATTCTGGTATGCCATTGTCATTTACGCAATAACGTGGCTAAATATGAACTGTTTATGGGCTATATCCGTCGATCGGAATTAACGAGCATTTTTGGCACAAATGACGTCATTTGTCGTACGATATGACATCATCTATCATTCCTTCCCATTTGATGATGTTGGGGGGTTGACAGCCCTGTAGAACGAGCTACGATTTACAATAAAAAAACATCGAATACAGCCTTCATTTATCAAACGGGTGACTATACACAAGATTCTAATGGCTACATCGTTTCGTATCGGTAACAAGGCGAGAAAAAGAAAAAAAATACTTTCACATGCATGACATGCACGCTCGCGATAAACAAAATCTTGTAAATCAGGCGTGCGATGCTAATGCATTCATAGCTAAATCAATACCTCCAAAACTTTTTGGGTGGATTGGTATTTAAAGATCCAGTGCAGTGAACCTTTATCGTAGATCCTTTTGAGGGACAAGGGCCATTTCCTGGTCTGATAACTTCTTTCTGTACGTCTCGCGCCGCCATGTTGCCTCCTTGATCATGCGAGATATCCCAGGAACCATCGCGAGCACGGGTCTTCCTTCCAGCCGGGGAGGAGACTAAGACGGAGCCCCTTTCCTCGCGATAAACAATAAGTACAGAGCCCAAAAACATAGCAAAAACAGCAAGATACAGCTCGACGAATGAGACTTGGTATTTGTAGAAATCTGCTGGACTAAACATTACTTTCTGTCATGAACTTGCCGAGAAACAGGCAAATGAAGACGGAAAACTTAAAACCGATCGGAGGTAATAGCTTGTTTTAGCTTGTTTCTAAACTAACAATTACTTTTGAATGAATAATAAAAGTATTATTGGATTCGGCTCTCGTATGATCCGAAGAATTATGGTGATCTTGGAGTCGATCGATTACACCCTCCTAGATCTCCATAAGTCTTCAGATCCCTACTCTGCCTAGGATTAGACTCAAAGTCCTTCGCTCCTCATTTCCGGTTCCGGTAGTTGGCCCCAGCTCTGTCCCTCGTGAAAAACTTTTAGCTCGACTATAGCCGGATCTAAACTTCTGGTTAGGTCCAGGGTTTAGGGTCTGCCGGATTATGCTCGAAAAATTCCTAATTGTAATGGAAGAATATTAGTTGAAGTCTCTAAAGAGAAATACTATGTCAGTTTGATAGATTTGTGACAGGAGTGGTGGCTGCTCAACTAGTAGCCTGCGTAGCAGGCGCTTGGAAGTAGTGTTCTTTCTTGCGCCCACTACTTCCAAGCGCCTGCTACGCGGGCTACTCAACTAGGAATACTTTGCGCTCTGTAGCTGTGGTGTTAGTAACAGAGGATAACTAAAAGATGTAGTTGCAAAGGAGCTTTTGTGAGTGCCGGTCCCGGTTTCGTTCTGGTATCTCCTTGAGCGATCGATAACGAGGCCATTATTAGATTTTTCTGCCAACATCTCAGACTTGGGCTCTAGATATCGGTATTAACCAAACCGGTGTTTTTTTTCATCTCTGACATTTTCACAGTGTTTGTTGGAAGGCAATGCGGAGACCCTGTCACAAATTTTTCAAAATTGTTGTAAGATATTGTAGTTCGTTGAAAGGTGTTTCATAAGATCACTTCAACATTTCTTTCGACAACTTTCTTTGACAACTTTTGTGAACGTGCGCAAGAGTGCAATTTATCTACATGACTTGGTTTGAGGTGTAGTAAGAAGTAGACAATTCAAGCTACTCAGAAACAAACGTAGGATCAGTCAGCCAGCAGAAGAAATCGATCTACTCATCTCCGGAAGTCATCTGAGCAGAAAACGTAGTCACTGTCATTTCTTTACAAGTGACACCAGGCTTTATTGTTTTTCTTCCAGCGTAAGATCAGATTCCATAGTTTCGTTCTTCCCAGAATTATATATGTGACCACAAATGTAGTTCGTTTAGGAGTTGCTGGCCAAACCTTTGTTTTAAAAAGTTCATGCATCCTAGCCCGCGATTAAATGTCTTAAGAACTGGTTGCATCACCGGACCTCTCCCGTTTGTGCCTTTTCGCACAGAAGTCCTCCACAGAGTGTTTTTACTTTTCTTGGTTAGTTGCTGTGGTCCTCTCTTCGTTCCATGGTTCTCCATGGTAATCAGGTAATTATAATGATTGCGCGCGTGCATACAAGTGCGTGCTTCCGTTAACTGTTTTGTTTGCATACGAGCGCAAAGAAACAATAATTCGTTTAGACTGTTGCAGTGAAAGAAACCGCTAAACTGAGGTTTCCTTTTAACAATGCATATATTTTTTGTTCGTGGATTCATGGACAAGTGGACTATCACTGTCATGTGCATCTAGCTCTGCTTTAACGTTTGCTTAAGTGCCTTTAAATAGAAGGAAACAAAATACTTCACTAAAATGGAACGCGGAGATCAAGGGAGAAGAACGCCCAGTGAAACAGAGCATGAGCTGAACTCTTGTATGGCCGTTTTTAACAATTCCCATGTCTGGTTCTCAACTATGAACCAGCACGAATTACAAGAGCTTTTAGTTGCTGCTAAACAAGAAGTTGCCTTCTCCTATAGCCAAGAACTTTCCCTTGCGTTGGATAGCAGTACAGCTAGCGGTGTTCCTCCAGTTCGTGAGCTGTTTGGTGGATTTATTGGTAGTTATCGATACGTCGTGACTTCTCCCACAAGAAAAAGAGAAACACTTTTGCCAGTCGCAGAACCACAATTGCTCTCCGAAGAACATGATTGCAGTATTGGTGCTGGGGAGATACCTGTTCAAGAGAACTGGAGAAATTTAAACCGCAACAAAAATGCAGTAAAAACAGTTGAATCGGATGATGTTACGCTAGACTGGAGTGAGATTGAGTATATTTTAGACCATTGCAGTTAAATTCGTACAGTAAACACGTGTGACTCACTTAAAAAAAAAAAAAAAAAACATTTCCCGCCCTTATTATATGTGAAGTGATACCAAGCCTATACTACGCTCCTTTAACTGTGTTAAATATCCTTTTTTCGGTTTTATATTAGATCGAAGCCTATTTAATTGTAAAATGGTGGACTATATCGAAGAGAAAGTCAAGTCTTAAGTTTTGCTCCTAATAACAAAAAATCACAAACTTAAATCTCAAAATTGTTACCTCGTTTCTCTTGTCCTCATCAAGCTGTTCGCGAAGCTTCTTAGTTATGCTGTCACCAAATGGACAAAGTCACTTCGCCGTATTGAGGCGTCCTTGTCATAGAGCCGGATATTAAATAAACTGAGCTGTTCTCATAGAAGAACCCGTAACGATACTTTTCGACACACTGTATACCTGACTGTGAAATAGTGAGGTATCTGACTTGAAAACAAGGCCAAGCTATGTGCTTTAACCCTTAAAAAATCTCCAAAAAAACTTCATTGCAAATTGCACTGAGAAAGGGGAGAGTATAAAATGGGGGTGAGTATCCGGTCTTCCTCAGGGGTCAGGGGAGAGGTGATTTAACTAAAGGACGAACCGGGGAGGGAAAAAGAGAGAGAGGACTAGGCGTTTCTCTCTCTTTGCTCTCTCTCCTCTTTTAGCTTCTCTCTCTTCTCTTTTCCCCAGAAACGACTGATGCTCACGCTGGACATAAAAAAACAAAGAAAGACTATGGGGAGGAGGAGATAAAGAGAATGGTTGCTGTGTTAGTTTTGATAATAAGCAAGATGAAACTTTTTTGAACGGAAAACGAAAATCGATCAGAAACTAGCCTGCGTCGCAAACACGCTAAACCGCCTGTATCGGAGCGTCTGAACTAAACTAATGGCCGATATAGGCTTTGGTAGATTGTGCGAGCATACATGATTTTTGGCATAATTCGTCATTACGAGAATAATTTTAATCTCTTTTCTAAAAAAGCACTGCTAGCATAATTTGCCCTTTTGGCTAGTTTTGTTTCTCAAAATTGTCATTTATTGATCATGAAACCAACTTTTTGGCTCGAGATCACCAGTAAAGGCAAATTTAATAGAACACTATCGGGGAGGAGGAGAGGGGAGAAGGGGCGGATGAGACTTTTACCTTTAACTACAAAAGAAAAAAGCACACCAAAAAAACCGCCAGCTACGCAGGCTAATACTCAACAAACAGCCAACGCCATTTCTTTAACTTCTTTTATCGCAATACGCAATACGTGCCTATATTTTCGTGTCCAGTCCTCTGCACTGGTCGCCAGTTTTCACTCGTTACTAGGGAAGCAACCCGGGTTCACCCGGGTAAGCAAGTTTAAAATTAACAATCTCTTCTGGTTGACATGAGCGCGGCAAGTTCTTCTTCACTGCCACCTTTAGAGGACAGATTTTCTGTCGTTCTTTCGAGATTAGATAGGATTGAAAATTCTCTGAGGTGTCTTGAAGATATAAAGAAAGTTTTGGTTGAAATCGAAGGCAACACTCACCCGGATAGCGATGGAAAAAGTGTTCATCGGAAAATCGTTCCTGAGAAGGTACGATCCTAACATTTGTTGGAGCCTATATTAATTGGTCTTTTGCAACTTCTTGTTAAAAAGGGGGCTTAAGTTTCTTAAAGGCTTTGATTCATGTTCTTATAAACGTAGTAAGCTACGTATTTCTTTCATTGATGACCACTGTGACCTTGCATTGTAAGCTTATATCAACTCAAAACTTTAAATGTCTAAGCTTTCGAGATAATTTTTTTGCTCAACAAGTAATAGTATATTTCATAATTACCCAAAGTTTACAGCGGGAATTGAAATTGCCTTATTTTAGGATAACAGGTAATAAGGACAAAGTAAACTAATAATTATAATAATTATTCTTATATTGGGCATGTACAGGACTTCGTCTTTCTACTACGAAAGACAAGCTGTCATTTTAATCGTCATGAAAATACGGTAGTTTGATTGCAAGAGAAATTTGGTTCGATTTTGGTGTGGGTTGGGCCCTGCCTTGTTCTATTAAAGACATTGCAATTAAGTGTTTGTTAGACAACGCGACTGCCAGTGATCAAGGAGTATCACGGACCATGGGAACATTGAGTGTCGGCGCAAAGGTCACTGGAATGGGTGGGTGAGAAAAGTCAAGATCCCCTGTTTGAAACCAAAATTGCTCCACTTGCTCTTGATTACGAATCTGTTAGAACACACCTGGGTACGATCAAGAGGCAGTGTCTGGCCTCTATCAATCAATCGATCAAACAATTAATCAATTTTTTATTTACCCACATAACATCTAGTGAGCTAAAAAACTCGTTCAAAATATGTATTCGCTAAAAATAAATAAATTATTATTGGCAATGTAGTCACGTATGCATTTCAAAACAATCGTATTTAGTTGCTCTGCATCATCCAGCTTAGTTTTGCAAACAAAATAAAAAATGAATAGATACTAAGGGTAAAGCCTAAGATATACATGTGGCTGCCAAGAAAAAAAATGAAAAATAACTACAGTCTCAAGCAATTGAAACAGACCACCTTGCAAAGTGTGAAATGTTTGAAATGAATACCAGTCGGTGCTTAACTTGGAATTCAATATTAAATTTAATTCCATATTATTAAAGAAACTACAGTGTAAATGTATTGAGTGATTAACTTTGGTAATTTTTGTTAGGCTAGTGTTTAATGGGCAATTTTTTTCATGGGTTCAGTTTCTGAACAAAATTGATCACTTTTTTGATGGCATGTTTTTCCCTTTGTCAGGTGACTGTAGGAATACGAGCTAGTATCATATCAGTTGGTGACATTGACACTGTTGGACAGCAATTTAAATGTGATTTTTATCTTTCTGCATGCTGGCCAGAGCCACAACTCCAAGGACGAAGTTCAACAGAGGTAAACTCTTTAAACTATGGTTGGCACAGTCTTGAAAAGTCCTTGAATTGTAGGGAACTGTAGGGGAGGTCCTTGAAAAGTCCTTGAATTTTCTTCAACTTTGAATAGAGACCTGGAAAGTGTTTTCAAATGCGGCTTTTTGGATGTCAAAGACAGACTATAAATCATAGCTCAGAGCAGTTAGTGGGAATTTCCATAAAGCATTTTTTTTGTTTTATGCAACAGTTATGAATTTGAGACAAGGTAACTGAAAAATGTAGAGAAGTCGGTGGAGCAAGCAGTTCAAGCCTTTAAAGTCCTATTAAAATGGAGTGGGAATTACGTGCATTTTTATACAATTTGTGAAATTACATTCCTGGTAGGTGGTCCTTGAAAATCGAATGCGGTCCTTGAAAATTCCTTTAAAATGGTTGCAATTTTTTGTATGAACCCTGTTAATTAAACTTTTTTGACCTTTAATTACTTGACTGAATTATCATGCCTCAACCTTAATAATGACTTCACTGCCTTTAGCCTGCAAACAGCAGACGCATTTCCGGTCGTCGCTTCTTCGAAGGGAGAGAAGCGTCGACCGGAAATGCATCTGCTGTTGGCAGGCTACACTGCCTTCAACGTGTAAGAAAAAAAATGTGGTCATTTTTTTGTATTTCAGGATATAGATTGGAACAATGAGTGGCATCCAAGGATTGTGTTTTTTAATGCCTTAGAGATTGAAAAAATGCAGAAAAATCATTTTTTGTTTTATGAAGAAGACAATCCAATACCATTTGCTCTTGAAACATATAGAATAAAGGGAAGTTTCAGAGAAAACTTGGAGTTGTGGGATTTTCCTCTAGATTATCAGGTTTGGGAAGTTTTCAATAAAGTTTTTAATAATTGTTTATTAAAAAAATAGGTTATGAGTAATTGTGTTATTTTGAGTCCTTAGTGTAAAAATTTCCACAATTTTTGTATATATCTTTTTTCTTAAAAATGACTAGATAACATCTGCCACATCTACCTTCCCAAAAGTAGTAATTTGGGCTAATGAGGTTCTCTATAGTTGGAAATCTTCCTGTTTTCTGTAGCATTAAGCACCTAGGTGCTGGTTGTTTATTACTTGTGGTAGGGGGGAGGCGTTGGGGGGCTGGCCATTTTGAGAAGGCCTGCTAGATGATTTTCAAACTGACTCCCCACTTCATCCTAGCTTTTTAGAAATGATCCCCCATAAATTTTGCCGTTTGTGAACCAGTACACCTGGTTGGAGCAGACTACATGGACTAGGTAGGATGAGGCAATGTAATGACAGGGTGGCGTCACCTAGACTACAGAGTCTGGAAGGTTATTCCCAGAATTTGACTGATATACAGTGTGGGATTTAGGAAAATGCAAAATGTCTGATGGGATGTAGGATTTGACTGCTATACTCTGAAAGCAGTATTTGCCAAAATCTTGGCACGGGATGCTTTATTGGGAAAGAAAACAGTATTTAGCTTAGAGATAGAAGTGAAAGAAGTTTGATATGCAGGGTTGTCATGAGAAAGGAATGGGAATACTGGTTCATGACCCCCCAGTCCAGGCCATAAGACTTGTATAGGTCTGAAGCCTGATGTGTCTCTATCAGGCCATCACATCTCCACTTCCCAAGAGCAAAGTGATAAAGATATTTTTAATAGTTATTTAGGTCAGTTGTGATCATATCACCTCAAGCTGAATGTTGATGTATCCTTATATTTCAACATGATTTTGCCACTTTTTTATTATATTTACCAGTAGTCTTAGTCTTATAGTCTTAGGTTAGGGCAAGAGCTTGTGATTGACATCAATTTTAACCTGGCTTAATAACTTATCAATTTTGTAATATATTGAGTGGCTGTATACTTTTTTGTGGTAAATAAATAAACTGAAACTGAAATTCATGCATAATCCCTGAGTTTTAGATGAGAAAATATGTTGCAATATTTACGTAATTATATAATATAATTTGGTTGGGAAATGTTTGACTTTTGACAGGAATTGACCATAACACTCATGTCTGACTGGACAAACGCGATGGTTGAGTTTGAGAAGGATCTGAAAAAAGCAGATACAATCCGTCCTGAAACATTCACCGCTGATCAAGAGTGGTTCCTGTGCAGGCATGTGGTCACAGAAGCAACAAGTACAGTCAAAACAGAGGGGAGCAGTGCAAATGACTATCCTCTGTACCATATAAGGTGTCATGTCAAAAGAAAAAATGGATACTACCTTTGGAATATTGCCATGATCATAGTAAGGACATAAACAAATTTAACGCTTTTCCTTAGACCAAAAGTAAGTACTGTATTTATTCGATTAAACGCCCAACCTAGAATCAGTGCCCATCCCCTACTAGCCCTCCACCCCCCGTCCCCCCCCCCACCCTGCCCAAAAAAATCGACCTTACTGACAGTGACATTGACATAGACTAATTCTATAATCATGGAGTCTTTTGTCACAAGCCAAAGGGGCAGGGTGAGGGAATAATCTACAGCCATGTTTATTTGTGACAGTCATTGTAAATCCTATTTTTTCTCTTTTTTCTTTTTCAGTTTCTCATTGATATCCTGTCATTCTGTTCATTTTCGGTGGATATATCCTCACCTTCAGATCGATTAAGTGTCACCCTTACCCTTCTTTTAACTGCTGTTGCTTTCAAGTTTGTTGTGTCACAGAGTTTACCAACTATTTCATATTTGACATTATTGGTGAGTATTATTAATAGTGTTTCATCTACTTAATGGCAAGCCCTACCAGGAGAGCAAGACTTCAGCTAGCATAGCTCTATAAAACACACAACGCGAAACAAAAATGCCTAAATATAGTCTTAATTTCAATTGATGCAAGTAAAAATAAGCTTTTAAAAAAGAAAGCAACTAGCATGGTATAGCCCCTTTAAACTTTAAATTGTTAGAAGAGACTTCATTTACCTCCAGTTGAAGACAAGTATTAAGCCACATGGGTTTTTAATGACGGGAAAAATGCTTGATATATTTTTATCTCATTTATATTTTGCAGGATAAATATGTTTTGTCTGGGCTTGTCTTTTTGGGCTTCATGGCAATTGAAAATGCAGTGGCTGCTGTTATTCCTGATCCAGATGCTCAAAGGCTGTTTGATCGAATTTGTCTTTATGTTGGTGTTGGCTGCTTCCTTTGCATCCATGTTGTAGCACTAACATTTGTCGTTATTAAGGTAACATTTTATTGTTAATTGAAAATCTACTGTCCAAAATTAACATCATTCACTGATCATTGTCAACAGACTAGAGCTTTTTTATATTGGAGCTTTTTGCAGAAAACCCTTCCTGCTATGTTAGCTTTGTGACTTAACTATTCCAATTGTAATCGGGGTCAAAGAAAAAAAACGCGCACACACACAAAACAAATTTTGTTCTTTCGTCCTAACAAGGGAATAGTACTCTAGGAAGTTTTAGCCAAAGAGTTTTCATTTGAATGTGTCCCACCACAGGACTTCATACTTAAAAGTTATACTCAGTGACAAAGCCCCCCTCGGCTATCCTGCTGAGTGTTTCAGATCATCATACATAAGACATTAGGTGAACTGTCACAAAACCAGAACCTTTTAGCGACTATTTCACAACCATAAAATTCATCTGTTAGCTTTTTTGGGACTTATTACCGACCTAAATGACAGATTTTCTTACCCCCATACTTCAACAAGTGAAATATATACCCTTTCATATATCTTAATCCTGAAAACCGTACCTCTTTTGGGCGGACCCCACCGGGAATTTTACTCCCTTGATCCTCAAATCTCAGACTTCTTGGGTTAAGCTAGCCTCCCACGCAGGCGTTTTTAGGGGAGGTCGTTTTTCATCCCTCCCCACAGAGCAGGCGTTTGTGGGGAGGGATGAAAAACGACCCCCCCCTAAAAACGCCTGCGTGGGAGGCAAGGGTTAAGCTTAGTTGATGAAAGTTTATAAATACCTTTGTTCGTCTCTTTCAGTCAAGAGCACGGAATCAAGCTCTTGCTACAAGCACGAAAATGTTTAGGGTAAGTACTGTTTGAGTGGTACAACCTGCGATCATGCTCAATCAGGCGTTCTTCTCTTTCTGACATTTCTATTCCGGGCAGGGAAGGACCGCCTGATCGCAGGTTACTGTTACTCGCGCCCCATATTTCTCTGGCGTAGAAGTTGTTAAATTTCTGATTTATTTGTGTAATACTTGGACCTGTTCACTCCTTTGAGTGAAAACTACTACTAATTCAAGAAAAAAGAACATTCCGCAAAACACTGAAAACAACTAATGTCAGACGAGTTTTAGTGCAAGAGTCGAAGGTGTCCTGGGCGACTGCCCTCTCCCGCCTTTTTGCAGTTCTTGTAGTTCTTAAGTCCCTCCCCTATGTCAACGCCTCATCACTATCACCTCCGCGTTCGCAGTACCAATTAAATTGGACCAATGACATTGGAGATATAAATTGCTTGTGTAATTAATTAAGTATCGTTTAACAATATTTTTGCATGCAATAATCACTCGGTTACCCTCGGTGCCAGAGACTTTTCTAGTGCGGTTTCTCGTGGCTTCGGCCGTAGGCCGAAGCTGTGTCGTCCTTCGGCCAACACCGAAAATTCCCACCGCAAGCGGGAAAAACCTCTGGTACCCAGGGTATCACTCGGTCGCAGTCGTCTGTTTGTTGAAGCATGTCTTCTCAGACTGCTTCTACCCCCACCACTAGAGGGAGAGACACGAGGGCGTGTGAGGCTCGCGCGCGAAGCGCGCGTGAGACTCTTACGCTGCTCTTACGCTACACTAAACTGATTTTGAGAAAAAACCGACTGTTTTGCAGTCTAATGAAATCCTTTTTCAACTGACGCGAATATATTTCAAGGGAATAATTTGATTTCTCTGACGGGGGTAAATAATACGCTGGTGATGATTGTGATTTTAAGAGAAGTCGTAAAAAGGGGCACTTTATTAGGAAAGTTCAATTTGTGCGCAAAACAAGAGAATTCAAATTTATTTACTAATTTCACAACAAGAACAAATATTAATTTGGATGCGTCACGCTTCGCTACTTTGCCCGCCAAAGTAGACAATCGAAATCATTGAATTTAGGAACAAATGCAAGACAAATACGACCGCGTTTACTCTCCACGGTTGCGTACTTTTTTAAAGAATTTCATGTTGCTCTTATGTCTTTATCCTGTTTAATTTCTTTCTTGACGTAAGACCGTTGTCTCTTTGGCACAGCGCTTACTGGTTTAAGGCTGCGTGCAAACGGACGCAACAACTCCCAACATTGTTGCGCCAACAATGTTGGGAGTTGTTGCCTCCGTGTTGGCAGTGGTGTGGGACCTGCAGTGCATCGTGGATAGGATACAACCCATAAGTTTTTGTAAACCATGCGTAATGAGCGTGCGTGGCCCCAAGAATATTGGAAGAACTGTGCAAACGGATCCAACATTGTTGCGCTACGCTTCGGCGATCACGGAATAAAAAAAATATTGGGAGTTGTTGGCTGAAAAATTTGACCGGTTTCAAACTTTGCGCAACAACGCGCAACAACATCCAACAACATGCAACAGGGTGTGCAAACGGACGCAACATGTAACATCCAACAATGTTGCGTCCGTTTGCTTAACGATAACTTTTTTGCCTTTGCGACCCATTTCAACAAAAGTACTGAAGCATCATTAGCATAATTTTTTCTTGAACTATGGCTTGTGCGAACCTTGCACCCATTTTGTCAGCGGGCCAAGAGGATAAATGTAGCAAAAGGCATCCAAGGGCAACTATAAAAAATATTGCAGATTCTTGAATGTCATTTTTGCCCACTCGTCAGAAAAATATGTTCCAGTTCCTGGTTCAGTTTGCCTTTTACGTCAAGCTCGGCTAAGCACTCTGCAGCACTTGCAATGCTGGCTTGCATAAATTACTCTTTCACGCTTTGTCTAAATCCTGGGCTAAACGGCCTTCGATCCTTTTTTTCTGTAGGTTACTTGAATTTAAAGTCACAACTAAAAAGTTTTCGGAAAGCTAAGCATTTACTGTTCTGGCAACATTGAACATACATACACTGTTGTGTCCGTTGTTTCGATCTGGTCAGATCTAATGGAAGATATGCCACCGCACATAATCCAGTTGCGTACTTTGCGCGCTCAAAATCCGGACTGAGGGAATGAAAGACATTTGACCCAGAAGTGCCTTAGAAATTCTTTTCGGAAACCTGCCGCATCAAATCTCGACTATTATCTTCAAGCTTCTTAAGTGCAGTAAATGGAAAAGAAAAAAAGTTGTAGGAACAGTTAGTTCAATTTGCGCGCAACGCCAATTGGAATTACTGCGGTCATCAAAAAGGCGATTTTATTCTCAATGTCCGGCGGTCAATGTGATGCAGTGCTGGGTTGAAAAAAATCGACTGTTTTACAGAGACTAAAGAAATATAAAATGATCATTGGCTTTTATAACAGTTGGTGGCTCCTAAAGGAGCCTTTGGTTTTGGCGGTAAACTCACACAGTGAATTTACTTGCTGCTGGTGTACTTGGTCACAGCCTTGGTTCCTTCACTGACAGCGTGTTTTGCCAGTTCACCGGGCAGAAGCAGCCTGATGGCGGTCTGGATCTCGCGGGAGCTGATGGTTGATTTTGAAGCTTCGGTGGCGATACGCTCGAAGATGTCGTTGACGAACGAGTTCATGATGCCCATGGCTTTGCTGGAGATTCCAGTGTCAGGGTGAACCTGTTTCAACACCTTGTAGATGTAGATAGCATAACTTTCTTTTCTCTTTCCCCTCCTCTTCTTCTTGCTATCAACACTGGCCTTTTTGCCTGCTTTCTTTTCACCTTTCTTTCCAACTGGAGTTTTGGGAGCCATATTGTTAAGATTGCTGCTGCAATGTAATGAATTATCGCGTCGACGATAGCGCTATTTATCTTATAGATAATTTATGCGCGGATCGAAATCCCCCTCGTTTGATTGGACGAAAGTTGCCTTTCTTTGCCTTGATTGTTTTCACTTTATATTGGTAAAATTTGATTGGTGGCTTGCTATCCACCGCTACTTTAGTCCACCGGACTGAATTTCAAAATTTGCTTTCGTTTTCTAGTAAAGGAAACGCCAATATTATATTGTGGATGTGTTCCTTTACTTCTTTGGACGTAAGCAAATAGGTTGTAAGAGTTCCATGGGTAGTTGACACCCTTAAATACTGCTAGCTTTTTGTTAGATAACCCGCTACGGAAATCAATCTAGATACAGCCTCTTCCTATGAAAATTATTTGAAATCTATTCTTGGTTCTGGTTCATACCGGAACATTTCTTTCTTGACTTGAGGCAGAGACAGTGATACAGTGATCACTGGTTTAAGGTTTCTTTTCTTTTTTTTTTTTCTGACATTGCGACTCATTTCAACAAAAGAACTAAAAGAGTCAGGAAATTAGCATATTTTTCATTGGACTGTGACAGTGCGAGCCCTACACCAAAGCACATCAGCGTGCCAAACAAGCACAAATGCAGCGAATGGCATTCAGGGGCAATTTACAAAACACAGCTACTTGAAGATCCTCTTTGCGCTCTCGTGAAAAGAAATTTGTTTCAGTTCGTCCTTCAATTTGCTTTTCATTCCTTTTTTAGCGTCACGCTTTGCACCGATGCGGCGCGTAGCAGGCAATTTATTCTGGCTTGCATAAATTACACTAACTCCATTTTCTTCGGCCATTGTCACGCTTTACTTAAACCATGGCCTAGACGGCCTTCGGAACTATTTTTCTAAAGGTTGCTTGAATTTGAAGTAAAAGCTGAAAGTCTTTTTTTTTTAAAAAAAGCTCAGCATTTTACTTAAGTACATGCGTTGCCTAGGTCTAATAGAAGGGGACGTACGGGTTTGCGGTTTTGCGGGAATTTTTATTTTAAGTTGCGGTATTGCGGTTTTACAAAACAAGCGGCTTGCGGTATTCAGAAATTTTCGGGTAATTTCAATGCAGTTTTCTTATGTTATTTTGTGTGGTGCTTATACATATTTCTGTGCCGTTTTGTGGTATTCGTACCCCGCTCCTAATAGAAGAAGCGATGCGGCTCATAATCTAGTTACGTACTTTGCGCGCGCAAAACCCAAACTGAAAGAAAGAGAGAAATTTGGCTCAGAAGTGCCTTTGAAATTCCTTTTGGAAACCTGCCGCATTGTATTTTGAATATCGTGTTTAAGCTTTTGTAGTGAATTGTCGGGAAAACTTAGTTCAATTTGCGCGCAAAGCCAATTGGAATTATTGCGGTCAACCAAAACGCGATTTTAAACTCAGTATCCATCAACGTAATGCAGCACCGGCTTGTGAAAATGGACTGTTGGACAGACACTTTGGAAATAAGAAATGATCATTGGCTTTTATAACAGTTGGTGGCTCCTAAAGGAGCCTTTGGTTTTGGCGGTAAACTCACTCAGTGAATTTACTTGCTGCTGGTGTACTTGGTCACAGCCTTGGTTCCTTCACTGACAGCGTGTTTTGCCAGTTCACCGGGCAGAAGCAGCCTGATGGCGGTCTGGATCTCGCGGGAGCTGATGGTTGATTTCTTGTTGTAGTGGGCAAGGCGGGAAGCTTCGGTGGCGATACGCTCGAAGATGTCGTTGACGAACGAGTTCATGATGCCCATGGCTTTGCTGGAGATTCCAGTGTCAGGGTGAACCTGTTTCAACACCTTGTAGATGTAGATAGCATAACTTTCCTTTCTCTTTCCCCTCCTCTTCTTCTTGCTATCAACATTGGCCTTTTTGCCTGCTTTCTTTTCACCTTTCTTTCCAACTGGAGTTTTGGGAGCCATATTGTCAAGTTTGCTTGCTGCAATGTAATGAATTATCTCGTCGATGTTAGCGCTATTTATCTTACAGATAATTTATGCGCGGATCGAAATCCCCGACTTTTGATTGGACAAAATGTTGACCCTCTTTTCCATAATTGTTGGGTTTCGGTGGTAAAATTCTCTTAGTGGAACTGAACTAAGACCTGAACTTCGAACTTTGCTTTCGTTTTCTAGATAAAAAAAGGTAATATGTTATGGGTATCTTCCTTTACTTCTTTAGACTTGAACTATATTCCACGCCGGATAGTTGATTACCCGTTAGTTGCCAGCCCAAGGTTAGGTGTTACCGTCTAGGAAATCAATCTAGGCAACATAATACGTCGGTCTACCTTGTCTCCGCACTTGAGCCTTCTTTTTAGCTCTCTGTCCGCGTAAGTGAGCCGGGAGACAATTGGTTTGTACTGCAGTGCTTATAGAACCTCTGCCTCACTGATTTTTTTTTTATTGTGCGGCTTCGCAATATTCAGAAGACTGAAATAAGACCGCTTTACATGCTACGATTTGTCGGCGAGGCCCAACAGAACAATGGCCGATTTACGCGATACGAATCTTAATTGCGCCGATCTCTCAACTTAAAAAAGCATCCTTAAATCGGGTGGTCAGAATTTTGAAATTGGGCCCATAACCTTGCAGCCGGTGCAAGCATGTCTAAACCATAGCCTGTTCAGATAGTGGGGAGCTTTTTGTCGCTCCTCACTATCTGAACGCCTACAACAGGCGATCTAGACCATTTTGTGTTGGTGTGTTTTTGAAGTGCACTAGACGACAGTGTTGGGAAATTATCGCTTCTTTGATTGGCTATTACGAGATTGCGCGGGAAAAGGGTTCAAAATTTGTCCCCCAAAATAGACTCAAAATAGCCCCACACTGCAGTTCGGCACAACTCCTTCCAAGAGAGAATGCCCAGTCTTACGCGGAGCCTCGACCTCACTCTACATAGTGTAAACCTGCCTTTATCCAGAGAACGAGTGGAAGGTATTGTGCTAAAGTGGTTTTTGCATCATTTCAGGAGCGACAACAGATGGTTAACAATTATGCAATTGAAAGACAGAAGAAGCTAGAGCGAAAACCAGTCAACGAAGAAGAAACAGCACAGCAAAACCAACAGGTTGTGTTTGTTGAGCCTTCGGGAAAGAATTGATCAGTGTTGATCGTGGGAGTTTCGCTGTTTGCCGGCTACGTCTCTCGGCAACTACGTCCGATCTTACGATCCCGATCGAATCAGCGATGTTAAAATCCGTCATTATGATTTGGAAGCATCTGGCTCTATCCACTTGTATAGCCTTGCTGATGTGGACCCTTCGTGCTTACATCTCAGACGTTGGAAAGTTACGGTGTTAACAGCTGAGCCCAGTCGCCTACTAGACTGGTTATAGTTATCGCTAAGTGCCAACAAGCAAAGATTTTACCTATAAGCGCGCGCTTTTTTAATTTATTAAGAAATGTCATGAATTACGTTAGTTTACGAGAGTGCTTAGGCCCTGTGTACAAGGAGGGAGGGTAATCCTGGTGCTAGGGTTACCCTAGTAAGAGGATTACCCTAGCACACGCACATTTCTTTTTTTTTTACACGACGTCTATACAAGGCAGGCAGGGTTACCCTACCGCTAGGGTAACCCTACCTGAGTGCTAGGGTTACCATAGCAAGAGGGTTACCCTACCTGCCTTGTAAACGCTCTGCAAGGGATAACTCGCCTACCCGAGACAACTTTCCTACGTCATGGATGACCAGTAATTTTGACAATTTGAACGGAATTATCCAATTTCTGAGCAAAATTATAAACATCTGAACAATACAAGGTATTTTCTGTAAACGGTGATAATATTTTCCCGTTTTGTCGTGAACTTAACGTGTTTTCCATAGAGAACTTCAAGTTTTATGTCAAGTGTTGGACATTACAAACGATGTTACGCATGACGAAACACGACAGTAAAGCTGGTAAAGTTGACCGGCAACCTAGTTCCCAGGGTTCTCTCCTACCCGCCCTACAGAGCGAGAGAGCTTGCTCCGTAGGGCGGGTAGGAGAGAACCCTGGGAACGAGGTTGGTTGACCGGGTGATAGGGTAACCCTACCAGTGAAATTTGTTTATAAACCAGAGCTAACCTGAACCCGCTTGGTAGGGTAAGCCTAGCACAAGGGTAAACCCGCTCTCCTTGTAAACAGTCATTTACTGTCATGCAGCGCACTCATGCATGGAATCGTTCTTCGTTGAATGCCTCAACTAAGGACAACGGGGTTGAGTTGTCAAAAACCAGTTAACACTCAACTTGGGGTTAAAATGTAACGTAGGAGTTTCTAATACTTAATTTTAAACTGTTTTATGGAAGCAGCCTAACTTAAAATTTTGGAGGAAACGAATTAACAGGAGTCGTCATCATAAAGTTTTAAAACGAAATTGAAAATCGGCAGTAGCCTAGGGTTAGCTTAACCTTGTTTAGAAAAAAGCGGCCTCGGATTAACAAATCAGATTAGTTCTCGAATTAACACTTTATTCTTTATTATTATTCATTCAAAATATTTCCTCGATTCTGATTGGCTAAAAGCACACGTTTAATTCACCATAACCAGTTACTGATGACCAAATTTGGAAGAATTTTGCCTTTAACGAGGAAATGACGTCAAAAAAGCAGCGTTTTCGCAGGTTAAGGCACGTTAACCGAGAAGACCTGGGGACGAGGTTGAGTTGTTTTGGTTGTGAACTTGAAAAAAGGGCGGACATTTCACTCGTTTCAAGAGTAAGAGCTAGGCGAAAAAATAGCTAAAAACATGGTAAGAACAGCAAGAAGACAACTCGAAGGGCGACATCTGCTATTTGGAGAATATTTGCGGAGCTGGACAAACCTAAACGTACACTATCGAAGATGAACTTAACATCGATGGATCGATGGAGGTAAGCATGTTTTAGCTTGTTTTTAAACTAGGAATTATTTTGAATGAATAATAAAACAGTGATTGAATTCGGCTTTCGTATCATATGAAGAATTATGGAGATCTCGGAGGGTGTTATCCGCCTCGGCCTACGGCCTCGACGGATAACACCCTCCTCGATCTCCATAATTCTTCATAAGATACTCAGCCTCATTCATTAACTGTTAATTATACAGTGACAAGTGATAATTTTATAAATTCAAGTGTACAACTTGACACAGGAACAAAGCTAAGTCTCTAACATGGCAGTTTCTTGCTGCAGAACTGAAACAATAACTTGATATGTTTTTTTTTCTCTAAATATCTAGCTCTAAAGTTTTTCAATTTTTTTTTTTTAGTTAATTGTCTCCAGTTGCGAAACGGAAACAACAATAACAATGATTTTTGTTCATAAATAACTAACTTAAAGGTTATCAATTTTTTTCTTTACTGCCACTGCAAGAGCGATGTGTGTCTCTAGCAGAACTGAAACAACAACTTTAAAAGATGTGTTTTGTCCGCTATGTCCTTTATTTAATACTAGATTAAAATTTTTATTGAATTATTTTCTGTGCCATTCTGGTGCAGCAATTAAAGTTATGGGTCTCTAGCTGCAGAACTGAAACAATATTGCGTCCTCGTGGTCCGCTGTGGTCATTTGAAGCCACCAGTCCTCGTGGTGAGAGTATCAGTTCAGTGGTTTCACTAAACTTGACTCAAATGTATAATCCAGCAAAGAAATATGTCCTTAATTTGAACACTTGCTGGTGCTGTACAGTACCGCAAATGATCCCGAGACCGCAAATGATCCCCAAAATGGACCGCAAATGATCCCTCCCCTTGAAACGAGTCCCCTAAAAACGCCTGCGTGGGAGTCTACCCCGTGTTTCCGCGGCAAATTCAGGATATACAGTGACGATTTTTAGTCTAAAAGATGCTCTTCAAATAGCAGTTGTCATCTGTCGATTTGTATTTTTGTTGTTCTTTGCATAACGTGTGAAATTTTCCGCTATTTTTTTCCAGCTCTACCAAAACAGCTGAGCTAACACAACCCCGTCTACAGAGCTTCTCGGTTGCCCGGCCTTTTCTCCGACGAGAACCTGGATTATTGACGTCATTTTATTGGATTTTGCAAACGTCTTCCAAATTTGGTCAACGCTACCTGGTTATGAAGTATTAGCCGGGGTGTTTGAGCTAATCAGATAGGGAGAAATATTTTTAATGAATAATAAACGATTTTATTGGTAGCGTTGATTCCGTTACAGAAACTGCACAAAAATGACCAAATGAAAGCCCCAACCGACATAGTTTTCGTACCGGCGCAAGAGCTATCCGGTCATGATAGTGTAAACATAGCATAAGACATATTACAGTAAAATATGTATGATACATGCACTCGGCTGGCATGACATTGCAAAATAAATTCCTTCTCGTGCGTCACAGGAGGAATTTTTTCCGGTCTTTTTTTATTGGACTATCCTGGGTATTTAATACTTGTTCTCAGATAAACAGATACGGCACCATTTTATGCTGCTTGTGCCATCGCTGAAAGAGCTTTGTATTAGGGTTGATACTTTTGTTAAGGTAAGTGTTAAAATGAGTGTTAATGCGACTGAACATAAATATGATGTGAAAGAATAGTTATATAAAAAAAGTAAGCCGCTGTAGTTTCACGATACAAGGCAAACGTCTAACTTACAGCCAGGTGCAGTGACGGCTAGACAGTATAACGTGATGAACATGAAATTCAGAGTTTTCTTTGCTAAAAACTTTCCACACTTTTCCTTAAGGTTCCATTATTTCCACGGTGATTCAGCAAGTGGTTTTATTAATTTGTTGTTATTATTGTATTGTTGCGGTTGTTCACACACTCGGATTCAAGCGTATCAAGCCCTACTTGTTCAGTTAAAATGCTAATATTTTAATAGACGAACGCAACAATCTCTCTTACCTGGCTAAGGTCACCCAGAACCCGCTACAAAATATCACGCTTGCTTTCCTTGTTGCATTGCGCGAATACTCTCTGGTTAGCTTGCATGCTGACACGGAGGA